GGAATCAAACGCAGACATGGTTCTCAACCCTCTTCTTGTGAAGACTTCAGAGAATTTCCCGTCCCAAATGAATGGGGGTAATCCGCATCGTAGATATGTCATTAACGTTGGATGTCAGGGTAAGAGTCATTATAATGTCGCGTCCGCTTTCCGCTCTCATCCGTGTAGCATAGCGAGACTTTCCATCAGGCGGAAGGCCCTAAGTTTGGTTGCATACATGTATTCTGGGAGGTGAAGAAGGGATTGAGCTTTGACTTAGCCCGAAGACCAGCCCAGGCGTACAAGTATAAAGTGAATAGTAAAGTTACCACCAGACATCAGGTGGCAATTAAGACAAAGCATTACAGCATTATCGTGCCAAACATCATGGATTTTTCTCTTGACACCTAAATCTACAGTGTCCATATCTTTCTTATTGGCCTTCATGGCCTTGAAAGTAGTGAATGAGTTAGGTAAGGACAAAAGTGTGCAGAGTAGGCTTTCGCCTTTCCAGTGACTGGTGATGTCCAATCCGTCACTAGATTTGCCTTTCCAGCAGTTTCCAACCAATAGGTAATGCTTAAAGAAATGCATTAGTTTGGCCATGTGGCGTTATCTAAGGACTTTTTGAGCGCGCCGTTTCCTTTTACTATTAAGCATTGAGACTGTGTATTTGCTATCCATTTTTACTTAAGTAGCCATTTATTCATCTGGAGTTGGACGATTGTAATAAAGGCAATTTGCTACGCAAAGTAGTGGAGAAGTGCGTTTAATGGGGGTATGGATCAGCTAAAGGGAGATAAAATTGGGCTACTACGCAGGTGAATTTACGACATGCTTTTCTTTTCATAGATGCCAAATTTAACTCCTCACATACCAAGGGCATTAAGTATTTGCAGAGCAACTCAAGATTATTTTACGCACAGTAGTACCCAAATGAACTTACTCACGTCGTGGCGTTTCCCTAGTATTTGAGGGCCCCACAAAATCCATGCGGTTAACTACTTTGCCACTGCCACTGAATGGTTCTTTGTGTATATTTCTATCAGAATGACCTCCGCCATTGTGAATTTTGAAGCAAACTGAATGCTTCATTGGGTTACATTCCTGACTGCCCTCTGGTGCCAGATGGTACTCCTCTCGTTTCATTGCAGTATCAAAGCTCACGAATTGGAGATCGTCCAGGCTACATCCTTTCTACTTACCACCACTGCAAATAAGGATGCAATGGTGCTAAGTATGCATTAGTAGCTTGCATTGCATGCCAATTTTCCAATTTTGTTGCAAAACGAAGGTTATTGTATTACTGACCACTTGGAATGGCACTGCCTTTTAAATAAGTCGTATAAGTTACCTTCAAGTAGACGCATAACAATTTAAATCATTGCGAAATCACGCATTAAATTTTGGTTACACGTGAATTTTAAATTGATGGCAAGTCCCGCCTACTTCAAGACGCAAAAAGGACTCCTATTTTATTTTGATTTCCTTCAAAGATCCAAAACTTGACAGCAACTACTGGGTACTTCATTATGGCTATCAGTTCAAATAGCTGATTTGCTGTACGGCAGCACTGTGCGGTTGAAAGCTCCTTTCCAATCAAATCATCGTCTCTTGCAGTGCACCCAATCGCAGAATTCATTAATTCATAAACAGCACCGTTTCCGCCCTCTTAAGTGGTCGGATAAAAATCATCCAATGAGACTAACAACATTAGTGACTTTAATGTGTTAAGGTAAGTTCTCTCAACATATTTCAACGGAAAGTGGGCTTTAAGGTGATGCACCGTGTGCATGTTGCCGACGGAAGCATGACCTCTGGCAGCCCAAATCGAGGCCAGTAGACGCCTTGGCTTCACTCCTGACAGAGGGTGGAAGTGAATGGACAATGCCAATAAGCCGCGGTTTTACGACCACTTTCTCACATCTTGACAATTTATCGACAAGTTTAAATGCAAAAAGTCTCAGATGTTAAATGTCACTAAGGCAGTTCTTGGTACACATTGCATCATAAGCGCGGTCCCAATCCAGTGCAGTGGTCTTCTTGCTTTCACCCCTCCTCCATTTTTACACATTTGAGTCAAGGAGACCCATTGAGGACGATATGTATTGTTTTAGGAATTAAGTAGTGTCAAAGGTTTCATCAAGAAATCGACTTTTGTCTCCTCCCTGAAGAGCGGTAGCATTCCCAACATTACAAGACTGGTCCAACTTGTGCATGCAATAAATTTGCATCGCACCAACGCAAGAAACATCAAGCAAGACCTCAAGACGGCCCAAACTTGAGAGCCTAATAATTACAGCACTTAAAAAACTATAACCTTTAATGTACAATTCTGTATTTCTAACAACTAATTACTCAATCGAATCTTGCCAAAGAGCATCATACTTGTAATGCTAGGTCACTGATTTTAAGCCCCTTTGCATTACAATTGCGTTTTCCCACGTCTATCTTCATTTAGCGAAACGGTATAAAAGGTCGTCGTGCATCCTTCTCCAATGTTTCTTTACACTTTCACTTCAGCGACAAACTCATGGCTTCTCAACTGCGTTGCTTTGATTTAGTATTTAATCCCTAGTTTTAACAGGAAATCAAAGTTTGGGCCTTGGCCATTAACCTGCACTGGATGAGCTCACCTCTGGCCCATGCCAGTTGTCCTAAACTCTGTTATATTTTGAAGGCACAGGCACTACCCCCGCGTATTAAAACTCCTTTACACTTCAGAGGGGTCTAAGGGACCTTCAGCATATTACTACAACTTTGGAAGTTTTCCGTTCCACGAAGGTTGCATACATACACGTTGTAAATGACTTCGTCGTAGTTCAAGGTCTGTAAAAAACCCAGCTTTTCGTCCTATGAGGCCAAAATTGAAGTGAAAATTCCCGAGTAGGGTGATGCCAAAAACGGGCTTCACAAATCAAATCTCGTTACTGATTACAAGAAAGCGCACCACCATGGAAGAGTCATTGTTATGGCAGACAATAACTCAGTCCTTTTACAAAAGGACAACTTCTGACACTTCAATATCGTGGAATTTGGGTCACATAGATAAATATGCCAAGACCTTTGCGAATCAAGAGGTCACTAGTAAGAATTGAGAAATACGTCTAAAAAACGTTCACTTGCTACCATACCATTCAGAAGTCTTCAAATGGGAGTAAAGGACCTTAAAAACTGTTGTTCTTCAGAATGTATGTGTTGTTAACTTGGTTAGCAGTCATAATGGAGCACAAAAGGTCAGGGAGTGCAAGAGATAAAGAAAAAAATTTCTAATGGAAATTCGATTGCGATAGCAGATCGGTTGGCTAGGCATGAAGAGATGTTGTACCTGCTAAAGGACTCCGAAATGATACCTCCCGAGTCAAATGGCACAACTCCATAGTTTGGAGTCGATCGACAATGTGAGCTAAAACCCCTTGCCTAAACACACACCACCTTCATCCAGTAGATTCGATTATCTTTGTCAAATAAACAAACACTGTAAAAGAATTTGACAGCCTAAGCATTAATCTTAAAAATTGATCCGCTACAGCATTATCAGTGCATTTATATCTACGAAACCGTTTGACATTTCAACCTTCGAAAATCCACCCAAACGGTAGTTGTATACCGTCGAGGTTAAGTTGATGCCCTCGACTTTGCATCCAATCACGTGGCTGTCTCACTCAAACACTGCACTGACTAAAGAGTATCGGAGGGAAACGGTGAGTAACGTGCTGCATTTGTCGGTCGTCTGAATGAGTAAGACGGTAGAGATCGCAGTTTTGAGAGGTAAACACTTAAAATATAGCTAGAAACGTCAGTCAAAATTAACACAAAAACTAGAACAACCTGTCACGAACCATTCCAAATGCCTGTCAACATTTTGAACGCCCACTCCTACCTGTTGTCCTACTTCACTGCAAACTTCGAATCGTGTTGTAAGCACAGAGGCATTCCTCATTCCATCAACATTAGTGTCAACAATTTCATATGATGCAAATGATGAAAACTTTGTTCTATGGCAAGATGGCAAGCAGCCATATTTGATCGAACAAGCTTGTCCCTGACTCAAGCAATACAGACAGTACCGAACTATGCAATCTGTGATTGCTATCTCAACCCGATGTTTTTCATGTTCTCGGACTTCTGCTTCTAATTAGATATATGTCAAGAGGCAAATGTTCATTTTACCATATCTAAATCGCGCAAAAAATTTGGTCAGTGCTTTTTAAACTACACATGAGTAGAGTCTCATACGCCGCGTTACAAATAACTGTTCCCTTTTCTATTGTAGAGGTTATTTTACTTGCCCCTGTTAAACTACTATGATGCCGTACTTCGAAAAAGTCGAGTAAACAGATTGATGCTACTGTACACAGGAATCTACGATATTAATGAGCTTAAATTGACGATCATAACCGTTTTTGTGATAACAAAAAATTTAAACACCTTTATCTGAACGTAACAGTGCCAACTTGGCATTCATCTGCGACCTCCGTGCTGTCTCAGAGGTTTGCAATATGTGGCCAAGATCACGCCTCGCTAAGCTTTTGCCAGTTCGTTGCGCAGCTCACAGTGGCACATAATTCCAAGGCCTATTCATAAACTGCCCATCACGCGAACCCTTTTATAAAAAGCAAAATGAGTAAACCCACGAAGCACATTGCAATGCTATAATCATCCAAAATGGAATGCGAAGATACGATAGAAAGTAAAAGGTTCCACGCCAAAACCAGCTTTCGAGCGAGGCCATTAACTAGAGTTGGACTTAGACACATCTCCAAATGTTACCGACTTCGATATTTATTGGTCATGGAGTGTCATACACCAATGGATTAAGGGTTGTTATTAAAACAAAAATCAGGCGTGTATGTACAAAGAGGCACAGACAAAGACAAAATAAGCGCAGAGATCCCTAAAACTATCGGAAACCCCAAAGGAGGGTTCATTATAAACACCGACCCAGAATAGTGTGTGCAAAGTACACCGTAAATTGCCTCTAGTCAGTCTTAGGTTTTGCTGAACCATTAACAGCATCAACCTGGGATAAATCCTCGTTATCAGCGCTTTCGTAGAGGTGATGAGGTTCTGATGGAGATAAAAGCTTTCCCACAAGTGGGTACCGTTCTGAAAAACAGGGAAATTAGTGTTTTACAACAGAGGATAAAGGAAAATTATCCCAAGGGTGGGATTATACGGCCCTAGCCAAGGTGAAATGCTACTCACAACATGAAATATGTAAACACAAAAAACAAACCATGGAAAGGGCAAAATTTAGCAATCAACCAAGGTTTCATGCGAGGATCTCACGAAATCCACACATCAGATTAAGCAGCAATCAAAACTCAAAACGTTCCATAGATCTGGAGAGACTCAATATTTCAGAATCAGATCAATTCGAACATAGGTGTTTGAAATAGCCAGTATGAGTGTTATAAGGCGCGTAAAGGATAAAAGTCTCAAACTTGATAGGTAAAGGGAACGAGTTAGCAATACTTAAGCTATTTTGGATCTGTACTCAGGCTATGCAACATGAGATTAAGGTAGATAAGTAGCCAAATTATGGATTAGGTGAGAAGATGCGCGTAATCTTCCCTTGATTCAGCAACGCGTAACGCACAAGCAATTGTGCACCTACAGAAACTACACAGATTACATGTCTCCCAAAAAACATAGGTTGCTAGATAGATGATAAAAGGACAAAATCAAGAGTGCAAAAATTTCTAAATAAGTTAACTACAATATCCGGGCTCATGAAGGTCTTACCACGAAATTGCAATTCCCATTCCTTGAGGCTTTTCATTTGTTCAGAGGTGAGATCTGAGAGATCATCATATTCTTCGTTAGATGGGGGAATATCAGTGGTAAACATTGTTAATGATCTTGAAGCATCCCGACCAGCAAAAATCGCATAGGGACCATCTTTCCCATAAAAATCCTTGCCGTTATTAGTGACGTCAAAAACGTTTCCATTTACAGCAATCAAAATACGACCATCGGGTCCATTTCCATTGAATTGGCTGAGTTCCTGAATGGTGAAATCCCGTTTACGCATAGTTGGCAATTTTTCAGGGTCGGAACGTTTGTTTGATGAAAAGGTGACATAGCAAGCAATCCCAATTGCAATGCATACAAATGCAAGAACTGTGAGCACAGTCAATAAAAGATTTCCGGTCGATATCGCGCCCAGGTCAGAAGGATACCACATTCTACCAGGTTACGACGTGCATATCAAGCGCCTTGCATAAACCCATCCCCTACGCCTTAAACAAACTATTTAAAAAATGAATTAAATAATGACACACGCTATTGCCTCCTCCTAATAGAATCAGAATATCCAACTGTGCAAAGATTTCTGAAGAGGCTATCATTTGCTACGCTTGTTTAATATAATAATAAAATGGTATAGATACGTCAAATTAGAAATCATGACCAAACTAATGCGAAACCGAAAAGATGAATATATCTATACTTGCCTCAGGCCTTTCTATAAATGAGAGACGGCGTAATGCTTGAGTAGGATGTACCGTTAAGCAAAAAACAGCAGAGGAACTGGTCCCTTGCCCTGCTCCAGAAGCATGCCCGCCCAGTCAATACAACATGGCCATCCTAGACTGAGCCTGGATAAAAGTAAAAGACACCGCAGCATGACCAAAATCATTGCTGCTATGTAATAGGCCTATAAATGCAATTCAATGATGTTTAATTTAATACTACCACGAGAGTTAACATGCCGCGATTGAAAAGCCAGTTTGTTTTAGTCGTATTGCCACCACGACCTAATCATCTGATCATTTGAGGGATTTGTGCTAAGGCTTTTCTGGTGGGTTGTTCATCTTTGTGCCTTTTCCAGCGTATCTCTTAAGGGTTGTTATTAAAACTATTGCCCACTTTATTTACAACGCCTCATGTTAGATTATGTTGGATTTTGTGGTGAATTTAGAGTTCGTTGTTTGAAGATTAGTGGTCTGTATTGTTAATTTCATTCTACGTGCCTTAGCAGGACTACCTTTTGGTAGCTTTTAATAGCTATAACTGGTTTAAAACGATAATTATTTTCAATTTTAGCTTTATGTAGATTTTCATTCTCATTTATGGAGGCTGTTAGGGATACGTACAAGCCTGAAGGAGGCGGTGTTTCGGTAGAAATAGGTGATCCCTCTTTTGATTCTATCGCTGATACGAAAACTCCCCCACAAAATGTATTCACTGCTACCGGCTCTGACAACGAGTACAGAATAGAACCATTCATGTCTCCAATGACGCCCACATATACTCCATCTCGACTAGCCACGGAAATTGGCGATACTGAGACATCTTTGAGCAGTTCTGGACGTAACGTTCTTGAGAGAAAGAGAAGGCGGTTAGATTCAGAGCCTTCTGAGGGAGAAAGTATGTCATCACCAGAGATCTTTACAAAAAATAGGGAGAGGATATTTTCCAGTGAAGATGAAGGGGAAGAGAACGAAAAGAGTGAAGCAGATGAGATTGGGAAAGAGGACAAGCCCGATGCCGATTTTGAAGGTTTTGATGGAGATGAGGAAGGGGCAAAGGGCATGATTGCAGACATCTTTGGCGAGAGCGATGCTGAGGAAGAAGGTGATTTTGAGGGCTTTGCGGAAAATGAGGTTGAGAAAGAGGTCGATGTTTCACCAACAGCTGGCGTAGCCGACGCCGTCACTAAAAAGGATGAGGTTCATCATCAGCCCCGGGACCAGATAACAAGCGACAATGATGAAGATGAGGGAGAAGAGTTCGTTTCCGACTTTGATCGATTTATGAGTCGCCGACGTGAAGAAACGCGTCGACGAAGGCGCCTAGGTAGGGATGAAGAATTCCTCAACGACAGTGATGAAATCATTCGCGAAACTATTAGTAGAATGAGAAGTGCTGCAGATGAGGATCGCCGTCTACTGTCAAAAAATAGACCTGCTACCAAGAAACTGAGCATGCTCAGTACAGTTACCAGCTTGCTTATAAGAGCTGGTATGAAGCCTGCTCTGATCGACAATGGCATTCTGAGTGCCATCACTGAGTGGCTGTCTCCCGTTTCCGGCCTTACGTTACCCAGCGTTACAATCAGAGAAACTCTTTTGCGACACCTTGGCGAATTTCATATCCAGGATCCGGATCTTTTGCGCGATTCTGGCATTGGCAAAGCTGTTATGTATCTATACAAACATCCGAGGGAGACAAGGGCTAATAAGATGCTCGCGGGCCATTTGATCAGTAAGTTTGACATTATAATTTATTGAATTATAGATGGAATTATAGAATTATAGCAGTTTTAACTTCCTTTTGTAGATGAATGGTCAAGGCCAATCTTTAACCTAACCAGTGATTATGGATCTCTTACAAGAGAGGAACGGAAGCAGCTAGATCTTGAACACCTTCCCAAGCGCCGCAATGCTGGGTGAGTTTGAACACCCTGTTTCGTAAGGGCATCTTATTCACCACACTAGTATTTCAAGACCTAAACCCGATAGCACTCACATTTGCTATTGTTATTGCTCCTCTTTTTAGTAAAGGAGCAGAGAGCAATGACGCGAACCAGAAGTCCTCCGATAACCCAATGTGAGTTACCATAAATGTCTTTTTTGTGAGAGGTATAACGCAGTAATCTTGATTCCCCTTACACCTAAAGCCCCCTGCGACCAGGCGACCCGGGTTGGGTGAACCGGGCTCGTGTCCCACAACCCTCGAACAAAGACTACGTGATACGCCCCAAGTGGAATGTACCTCCTGACTCCTCTGCATTTGAAGAGGGAGACGCCGGTGAATCTTATGATAACGACGAAGGCAGGGAGAGAGATGGGTCCCATTCTGTACGAAGACGACGGATCCAACAAGTTCAAGCTCCAGGAGGCGCCTCTAATCGCATAGAGCGACATATCCGTGCATTGGCCAAGAACGCAGCCATGCGAAGGAAAACCCGCTTCGTTCGTGCAGTCCCTATGTCCGTTGAAGGCAGAAATATGTCCCTCTGAGTCCCTCCTGCAAAAAATCCAACCACCACCTGTAGATATGCAACTTATTCTGCTTTGTTGCCTGCAATAAACCTCTCAAAATCCTGTTGGGCTGTGTATCCGCAGAGTGATGAGTTGTACAGTTTTTGATCACTTCTGAGGAAGATGAAAAAGGATAAGTGGTAGAGCAAAGGATTTTTCTTAATCAGAGAGCTTGACAATAGGATGTGGATTGTCATCGGGAGCCGGACGGGCTTGGTCGGATGTAGGGGTGGAGAAGATACTGAGAGAAGGTGCAGACCCTCTCTTTTCCCCTAACTTCCTCGTCCAATTGGGGTAACTGGATAACGTGCATGTCGTCGTAAAGTTCAAGGATCTGCTCAAGGTACTTCGTTTGGAGCCTATGTCTGGCTTTGCACATACTACATTCCGTCGGTACTTCAACGGATCTTAGGTCACTTCGGGTGCTGCCTTCGCTTGCTCCGACATTGGGAAAGAGTAGTTGATTTACAATAATATTATGAATGTCAATTTCCTGTTCTGCTAGAGCCTAGAACAATAACAGGAGAGATAATCACCTACCTGTACGAGACGCTCCGTCTCATACATACTCAGGAATTCCGCTATACAGACACAAACAAATGTAGTTTGACTAGGATCCTTAAATTGCTGAGTTATTTCTCGCACAATCGGCAGGCGTGCTTCAATGGCTTGTGTAAAGTCTTCCGAGGCCAGCATACCTCCACCAGCACCACCAACGCCGAGGAAAGACATCATCTGGCTGAGCAAAGGAGCTATAGAGTTTTTCAGCCTGACCAACTTGCTCATCCCGTTCTCTACCAGTTCGGGGAAGGCAAGCAAACGAAGTGTATGCCCAGTTGGAGCTGTGTCAAACACAACTACTGAGTAGTCCATGCTGCGCACAAGACGAAAAACCTCTGTATATGACATATACTCGTCGATACCAGGGATGGAAGTCAGCACACCGGCCAAAGTTCTCCGGAGGTCTGCCGAATGGGTAGCCTCCTCAGCGCCAGAGACGTCCTCTTCGAGTTCTTCAATACCCATATTGGGATCAATTTCCATTGCATATAGATTGTTGAAGCCCTTTAAATAAGCCCAATAAGATGATACTGATATTAAATACATTTGATGGCATAATGTTGCACTCGATCCAAACACCAATAACATTGTTTTCTAGCAGGGACACTTAGGGAAGGTAGGAAATAGAAGACTGATCGCCAAAAAAAACCGCACCAAAAATTTGCTGTGAACTACTCCAAGCGAAATCCGAGGAAGTGAACGTTACGCCTAACAAGTAAGCCCGAACAACGGATAAATGTAGGCGTACAATTGCATAAAATGCAACAGACTACTATTAAACGACAAGCATAATGAGCATCCAGAACGAGTGCATAGCACAAACATGACCAAGAATGAGTGGCATTCTTACATTGACCAGAGTCGGTGCTCTTGAGAACTTCTGATCAAATGCATCGGAGAGGTTGTGCGCAGGGTCAGTACTGATAATGAGGACACGCTCGCGGACTTTCGATAATTCTACAGCCAGACTACAACTGCACGTTGTTTTCCCGACACCACCCTTTCCGCCCACAAATATCCACCGCAGAGATACCTGATCTAGGAGATTTTGAATCGACGCCTCCGGCATATTTAGGCAGCGTACTAAGCTACTTTTCCGCGCGCTAAGACCCTAGTGATATAAACAAACCTCCTACCAATAATTCGTTCTACCAATGTTTTGGTTTTTTATTTTATGTGATATGCAAGTCTATTTTTAAATATTTTTTGACACTATTATTGCCAATAAAGAGTTGCATGCATATAAAAAAGCTGGGATTTGGAGGCACCAAGAGTGTCCACCTAAAACCATCTTTGCCATAAAAGTGTGAAACGACAAAAGCTGAAAAGCTAAATTTATTATCTGGCATGTAATTGTTGTTGCGGTGACCGATCAAAATGCAATGGCGTAATCGCGGAGTTACTCTTTATTTTGAAGTACAATATCGTTATCTTGCCTTAACCTTTTGCACTCAAGCTTATATGTAAGATTTTTTTATCTATCATATATGCTTTATTTTACGAATTTTCTGTGAGGAAATTGGTATGATATACTCTCACTCCAAATTCCTCATTTTTATCTTTTGAATTCTTAGCTCAAGCTAAATCCTGTGTACACCTCTTAATTTCGCGAACAGCTGACTTCACACGACTTTTGCCCATTTAATTACTAAGCATGTTCATAACGATTTCGTCTGAAGCTGCGAACGTATGACATTGGTTACAGCGTTTTGAGTCGTCCCTAAAGCAAATGCAATGCAGTCTTATTTAAGACAACATGCCCCGGAGGTTAAGGCCTGCTGGTATTGTCTGAAACCTTCGCCAAAAGGAATCGTGCATCCTGGAGAGACTAGGATATGAGAGTAGTTAAGAGAGCAATTAAGCAAATGAATGCATCGATGTCCTCCAATTCTCAAACTTTGTCCGTCAGTAATAAGGTATTTATGATAGTTGTTTGTAAAAAACGCAGAAAATCTGGGCATAAAATTGTATGATTTACGTAGCATGCATGCAGCATGGTGCTCAAGTAAAATGCATCGATTCAGCAAGAGAAAAGGTAATCCAAGTTTGTGTCATAGCCGGAATCGTAGCCCACCAGGCCGTGTCAAACTTGTCACTGTAGTCGACGCATACCTTCAGACAAGCAAGGCTCTATAGCTTAAGCTTTAAGACAATGTGCAAAAGTTCAAAAATATAGTTACGTGTTGGCGTTTACAGAATTCATCCTTTTATTTGAGCGCCACAATATGCGATTGAGGTAAGGTAAGCGGTTTTGACGGTATTTCATCCCCTGACTGGATATCAAATCGCTCTTGGTCCTTCTTAACTAAATATATTTCATTACACTGTGAGGAAGTTGTCCCAAATAATGAGTTTAATTGATGGTTGCCGCTCCAAACGTGAAGTGTTTTTGTGATAAATAATTTCCTTGAGGTTCTGCACCTCAATCACTTTTGCCTTTAGGTCTAAATTGTTGTTAAAAGCGAAACTCATATCATTTTTTTGAAAAGTTTTGTTAAAAAGGCTACAAAGACCCAGATGAAGTTGCTCAGAATTACATACCTTTCAGAATCCCTATGCATCATAGCTTTTGATCTGTGAAATATGAACAAAGTCATATTCAGTAGTTAAAACCTAAAGTTCTTAGTCCAAACAACTTGTGATTCAAATTAAAACTCAAATGCACATTAATTTATAAAATATTAGCTGTAAAGCCCGGAGACTTCCCACCGGGTGGAAGAAGGCAGTAAGGGAGGCTGAATACATGTACTCCGAAGATGATAGGGAAATGGGCCTGAGCTTGGCCGGAAGGCCAGCCCACGAGTACAAGGGCCAGACAAATCCTAAAGTGACCGCCAAACGTCGGGTAGTCACGTAAGCAAAGCATTACACTAGCAAATATTTTTTTAAAGAATATTAGCGAAATCGTTAAATTCTCCAAAATATCTCATTGGAGGCACTCAAGTAGAATGTGGTCCGTAAGTAGATTAAGTTAGATAACTAACTCTTAACTATTGTAAAAAGCGTCTCTTTCGACTGTAATTTTTTTACGCATTTATTAGTGAATATGATTCGCCCTTCACTAATGCAGTATTACAAGTTGCAGATTGTTACCAACATCCAGTTTGTGCCTCCGTGCTAGGATATTGTACAAAAACTAATCGGGGTACTACATAACAACCTTTTGACTTTCGCAACTTGCTTCTTTCTCACCGACACCACAGCCTATGGAGACAAGACGGCAGCACAACGGGACCTTCCACAAAGCGTGCGCAGTGCGCTCTGCTGTTTATTCGACGAGAGGCCTTCCCGGGGCCTTTGATCTGTGCGTAGAGTCAAGCGTGGGACCGGTTGTCGGCCTTTCATTTGTTTGCGCTCTCTTTCTATGCGTGTACAAGAAGGCGAGTAAAGATTTATGAAACTGCAAGCATGAATAGAACATCATGAAAGGGTGAGAGCAGGTGTGCAATCTGTATGCGTGTGTGGTAAAAGATGTGAAGTGGCCAAACTTAAAGCCTTAACGCATTTAAAGGCATGCTGAAGAAGTATTTCTGGCAGGTGTATATCTTCCTTAAGCATATTTTATACATGAAAGTTGATGATATGAGTAATTTTTTTCGCATTAGCCAAGGCCTCACTCCGACGAATGTAAATCCAGAGTTTGAATGAAAATTATATCCAAACACCAAGAATCCACATGTCCATAATTCATCTTGAATAAAAAGCTAAACAAAGAGACGTGAACTCTTTCAGTCACATCACTTGGTACCTTGTAAACAGGCGTTTCAAAATTATTTCTATGCCTAATAATAGTGTTTTTTACTTCTTTACTACATTTCCCAACCATCATCACGACCGTCTTCACTTGCAAACGCTAACATTTACAATGCGGACGCCAAAGCACACCTTATTAGCAGTTAAAAGGCTGATGTCCCTCGCCGGCGTCAGAAAGACAACCTGGTCTCCGCCTGAAAGAATGAGATACATTCTGTGGAGGGCAATCGAGTAGGTGATCGAATAGAAAGAACAATTACCAAGATAATACATTTATTCCTAAGCGGTATTTATCAGTCATATGCAATCTGTAAGCCCTAAATGCTACCCTTACCAGGGTTTGGTTGCTAAGGCTGTCAACGTCAGGCGACCGAATAGGCCGATGCTCTATGTACGATGACTAGAGCAGACCAATGTGGGAACCCCATGCAGTACAATGTCTCAAGGTCCGTGGTGGTCAATGCGTTAAGTACCAAACTCTCAAAGGAACGTTCGTCCCATAGGTAAAGTTACCATCGATACGATGTGAAGATATTTGGTGTAAAGAGCTTTAACAATGGTGATGATCAAAGGCTAAGCAAATGCAATATATCATTGGAAAAGAGCGCCGTGTCCGTTCCGATGTATTAAACACGATTTATTATTATATTATACGACCCGGACCATCCTGTTACTATAACCTGACAAAAATGAATGTCACATGCATGCGCAATCGCGTATGTACCAAACGTGCAGCCAACGTCAAGGGAGGACAGAACTAGAAATTCGCTCTTTGCATGGATACAAACAGTTCAGTTGGTCATGGCGACTGTGCCACCCAAGTTGAAGGTAGGTGGTAGGCGACCACTTTGTGCTTCCGTTGTTCAAGGCGTTCCCTCCCTCCTCCATGTGTGCGAAAGTGTTTATCACACATTCTCGCATCAGCGCCCATTCGCATGTGTTTCGTGTGTGCAGGTGTCGAGGCGTGTACATGCTGCCGTGGTCGCACATGCGTGTACATGTAGGTATGATCTTAAAGGTTACACTGTGGTCATCGTCCTCCACTGCGGCGAACTGGCATTCCTGCAAAATGGACCAAAAAATTTTGGCTTTCTCTCATTTCCCACAGTTCAGGTAGTGCACTTTTTAAGATCTGACGAACTTATTCAAGCTGCTGCATCAGTCACAAGTCAAGACGATTCCAAAATAAACAATTAAGGATCGGTCAGAAGTCCAAAGACTTCACTCACTCACCTGTCTCCTTTATTGCTTAAAGTTGTCGACACTTGTGGAAAAAAAGGTAGATAAGTACAGCAACAATTCAAATTCATTTTCGTATCTTCTCCATTGTATTTACTCATAGGTAAGTATGAATGCGGAGGTGACTGCCAAATGTCTAGTGTTTTCAAGCTATTATAAGGTATGATGACCCTTGAACCAGTAAAGTTTGAGCACCGCCTTCGCTTGCAGCTGTCAAACTTCTCCTACGTTTAAAGAAATGCATTTTGAAAGGTATTTATTCAGCAGCGCTTTCCATTTGAATCACTTCAGATTGGACATAATACTACAATTCATAGGTAGATAAACCGAGACTGAAAAAAAATCGCAACTTGAGCTGTGACAAGTGTGAGTTGTCAAAACCTCCAATATTATTACCTTTCCGCTACAAATCTATCCAATCCCAGCCTCAGTAACATCACACTTCAGGTCTACAATTGCAGTTAAGACCGACAAGACTTCAGTTAGAGATAATATCAAATATCAGCGGCACCTTGCCCACAGGCATGCCCATCCTACAGCACAATAATTTCTTTCGTCAAATTCCACGACCTTGCTTATTTTGACTATGGTACGATTCTGGCTCAAAAGCGACATTAAAAAGTGGAGGTGAAAATATTGTCAATTTATCTAGTGCTTCCTCAATAACAATAACAACCTTGAAGATAAACCAACAGTTCATAAATTTGCTTGCACTGTTTCAGCACCGGGAAGCCATTCAACTGCGCAATTCTCATCATCAATTCTTCATCATTTCACAAAATTCGCGGTGCCAAGC